TGAACAAATTATCCTCGTTTTATAGAAAAAAATCATCAAATTAATGTGTTTTTTGTTATTTATAACAGATGAAATAAAAAATAAATGTATAATTAAAGTTTGGAAAATAAACCTTCAACTATTTTTTTTATAATTTACATAAATATAAATTTATATGATGAAAAAAATGTTTATTTTTAAAATAGATTATTATTAATGAAGCATTTAAAATATTACGTTTTCGTTAATTCTCAACTGAAAGTTTATTAAGTTTAGAGTAAGTAGACAAAATTACAGTTTATAAACATATGCGAATTAACTTTAGTTAAAGGTTATAATGATGATGTAACTTATTTATTTTGTAAAAAAAAAAACAGCATATATTTTTTGTTTGATAAAAATTAACTATGTTTTTCTTTAAAAATAATTTATATTTTTCAAAATAATATATACAGATAAAATGAGGTTTTGACAACTTATACTTATATTTTAATGAAAAATAAAAGCGCAAGGCCATTCTTTCAGTTAATAAAACAAAATTAGATGTTTTTATGATTAATATGGAATACTACACGCATTGTCCTTTAAACTTTAAATGCGTTTTTTTAATAATACCTTTTTCCGATGAAGGCCATGTTTTTCTGGGGCACATATATGAATTAATAGTAGTGAAAATGGGAACAGATTAAAAATTAAATTGACAAACAAATTATTTTAACCAACAAAATCACACGACCGTTAATTTTCATTATGACAGAACAAGCTGTCAATCTCACCACGTTGTCTACAGTAAAGGCATACTTTTTATCAACCAAATAAAACGCAATGTTAAGATTGCCATATATAAACAAGCTTTCGACGAGGTTATGACAGTAATTATTGTGTAACATATCAGATTATACAATAATAACCGCTGTAATAAAGTTGACGAAAACGTTTGCGTGAAATGAAATGATTACATGGTTTTCTCCGTATTTCTCATTTTCTTTGTATCCTTGTCGTTCCGCCTGTCATAGTCACGGGGGGGCTATGCAACACAAACAAAGCTCCACCCACTCGCACCCCGGACGCTCCGCAATCGATACAGATATATAAATCTATAAGAATTACTTGAAAATGTGGTATTCTCCAAAAAAGGTATAAAAATTATTGTCTATCACACAAATTAAAATTAACGTTTGAGCGTATGGTGTCATGTCACTAAACGTCCGACAACATAATTCTCTTTCATTTCTACTAACACAATCTATTCTCTTTCCACCCTAAATGCGACTGTACTTAAAATATTACCTGAGCTGAAGCTCTGCCGGATAAAGTGGAAGGCCCGGACTTTGATGGTGACTTAATGCCTATCTTATCGTTGACCGAACTATAGGTCTTGTGACAATTCAGGTGGTCATCGTAGCCGTCTCTTCCGCCTACGGACGATGAAGATGTTGTAGACGACATTCGCTTGATCATTCGTAGGCTGGAAGATCTATACGCAGATCCTGCCCGACCCGGTATGGTGACCACCACAGACGCCTTCGTCGTTTCGTAAGCCATCAGTGGCATCTCCAAATCACGGTCCCCCATATCCCTGGACATTTAGGTAGGGGAACCGGTACGCTGATATCACCGCAGGTATTGAGTCATTGTGATTGTAATTTGGCGAACGTTTTTTTTTGTAGCAATAGCGCTTAGAAATATCGTAGAAGAAAAAGAGTGCCAAAAGATATAAGAAACTGATCAACATGCGTGACAGTAGCGGATAAAACGCTCGCGGTCGAGTCAACAGACTGGACGGCACTCGCAAGTGAACACCGCCAAACGGAATGTGCGAGTTACGGCGGGTCTTTAGCGCACGCGACAAGCGCCACAGTGTGACCACGATTTTTGGCGTGCGCGGTAATCGATTCAGTATTTATTTTAGTTCGCATATTATTCCATCTATACTAAGCAAACTTTTAATAGATTTATTAGGCTGCTAAAAATACCAAAAACATGAGTGAATTTGTTTCGTATAAGTAGTGCTTGGACTGATTGATGTAAAGTTACTGTCTCCTCTCTCTCTCATTATTTCTCGATACACATATCGTCCATTAAGAAAAATAATTCATAGTAAAATCATTTTAAAGATGAAAATCAATGGAAATATTTTATACGACAATATAGTATTACTTCAAAAACGTTTGAGAAGATGGAAAGCTAATAAATAATAACCTAGCCAGTGTGAATAATTCTTTCATTAATGAACATGATTATAAAAGTATGTTTTTATGCATACAAATTAAAAAATAAATAAAACTAAAAAGGTTGCAAAAGTTTCAGAAACGTCCAATATTTAAACTAAAAGTCACATTTCCAAGACAAGCAAAAGAAAACTACTTAATAATTTTCATTATTACACAGGGACAATATGATGTCCCTCTATAAAAATTTATTACTGAAAATAATGTCTTTATAAATAGATTTAAACGACAAAAATAATAGACAGACGAAAACATTAAATGTACATAAATTTAAAACCAATGAAATGATATTTATACGCAAACGTAACTAAACTTACTAATATTATAAAATATAATGATCCGTCAATAGAAAATTTCTCAGGAACTCCTACTATATTTTAATTAAAAATGATTCAATTATAGTTTATGATTAATTATTTAGAATTGTTTAAGATATAATTATTATTTTATTGGTTTTCAAAAAAAAAAAAATGTTTTAATACTTTTTTTTATATAAAAATTAAATGTTCAAACATACCACTCATTATAAAAAATTATTTTTAAACTAAATATTTCAGTATTTTACTAACAAAGGTAGAACTAAAAATATTTTGATTCTTCAATATATTCCTTTGTAATTGCAAAGCTAAGTTCTTTTGAAAATACAATTAAACAATAATTAAAAAAATACGTTTATTAAAATGTAAAACTGAGTTGACGAATTGAGGAAGAGAGAAATTTTATTGAGACCAGTCTAAAATTTAGTCAATCTTTATCCATTTATGTATCGTAAAAAAAACTAATTAAAGTAAATAAAATATTCAACAGACAAAAAGACTACCTGCTTCAACAATATATTAAAATGTACTCAATAAAAATTTTAGGTAGAACTAATCGAATATTTTTTTCCACTATTCGAACTATTCGATAGTTTATGCTAAAAATAAACTATTCGGTTGTATAAAAACAATTCGAATAGTTATTCGATAGTTTAAAATATTCGAAAATATCCATCATTAGTCTTCATACACTGATAATAATGAAACACGCTATTGTACACAAAATTGTCTACACATAACGCCGTCTAGAAAATTTTTAAACTTCCGGCCATTTGATTTTAAATTATTGTCAGAGAAATATAGTCAGTAGATGCTAATTATTTTAATGTAATTTTATTGACATGTTATCTGAAGCACTTTTAAGGCTTTTTTATAGCCTTTAGTAAAAATTTTGAAAACAGTTGTTAGAAATTATTTAAAAATGAGTCATGTATATTTAATACTTCATTATGTATTATATTAATTTGTTAATTCTTTAAAAAGATCAATATTAAATTAAAGTTAAAATTTCATGAACGATTTGAATGGAAATTTATTTTTTACCAAACACTTAAATGAACGAATCTTACAACAAAAACGTATATTCCGATTCTTACTGAGTAAAAAAATATATGCTTAACAGTAATTTATTTAAGGTACGATTTAATACATTTTTGGAAAATAAATTCGAATTAACTGAACTAGCCCTTTTGGTTAATCTTCAAAGTTAATTATATTACTCAAAAAATCAAATTATTCCATAAATATTTTTATTTTTGTGAAAATACTACTATTTAATTACGCTAAATAGCAGCTTCTTAAGTAGAACTTCGGGTTTTGTCATGTTTTCTTGCAAAATTAAATTGATAAAAATAGATTTTTTAAATACAAACAGACAGAAAAAAGTTATAAAATCAATTGTTGCTAAAATTTAAACGGACATTAAATTTAATACATCATTAATAATACATTTTTATTCAGTAGAAAGTGCAATGATTATTATTACCGACAAATAAAATTTTCGTGCAAGTGTTTTACCAAAATACGTTAGAAAACATCAGTGGTATCAAATCATTTGAATAAACTCTATAATTAAACTAAACAAAAGTTGAAATTTTTAACAACTATAAATTTATTTTCTCAATAAATAATAAACAGCAATTATATCGTATAACTCTTATCAAAATCAACATTTTTTTTTTATATAGAACCATAAATCTTTGTAAAGAATTTGTTTTTTTTTATTAATATACTTTGAAAATAATCGTGATGCTAATATTCTAAAATTTAAATAATTTTGCCGATATTAATTATCATTAGTATAGCTCAATAATTTTCTCTGTATAAAAAATTAGCGCCTCAAGTGTAGGAAAAAACAAAATATAACAGCTTGTTTGGCGGACAGGTGCCGCTTATGTAACCGTTTTCGAATGATATTGATATTCTATGCGTACTTTTCTAATACATCAAAATATTAAAGAAATATATTATGTTATAGTATATAATATATTATACTTAAATAAAAATGATAAAGTTAACAGTCATTAAAAATATCTTACTTTTATTATTATTTTAACAAAATCGCACACCATTCTAATTTCATGGTTCTATTAATAAAATTTTAATGATAAAAATATTGATATAGCATAATTTGTATGTTGATCTTGAAAAACACTAGGCTGTTAGCCAATAAATAACATTCTACTCATAGTTATCAGTCTTCAAAAATTAAACTCTCAAATAGGTCAATGTTAATGTGTGTACCAGTAAAAATCACCAAGTACAAGAAATTAATTTTGGGATTTTATTAGCAATTAACCAACATAGTTTTAAATTTGCTAAAATAATAATATACAATGTATATAAAATAAAATATTATTTAATTATATTAAGTTTTAATATAAATTTTTAAACGAAAAAAGAGTTAAAAAATAATTATTTTTTTATATATAAAAAAAAAAGAAACTAAAATATTTACAAATGTAAATGTTACCTGTGCAACTTTTTCACCCATATTCGGCGTATGTAAAGCACCTTGAAAAAATTTTGCCGACCCATTGTCTTGTATAGAATACTAAAACAATACAAATATAAAGTTACACCATGATGTAAAAAGCACCTTTCAATATAAATCTTTAATATTGAATATAAAATACATATATTTATGTGTATTATAAATATATCTTTTGAATTGGTTTGGTTACAGTAAAGCATAATAAAGGAATCTTCTGTGATAGCCTATGGCAACGTGAAAATTCTTAATAAACTACAAGGTCAGGACTATCGTTCAGTAAGCCCTAATAAGAATATTATGAAATTTATTGTACAATATAATTAAACTGTAAAGTTATTACTCAGCAACATGTCCTACAGAGGAATGGAAATTATTTATGTTTTATCGAATAATTGAAATAATATGAATAATTAATCTAAAATGTCGATTCGGCAGTTACAAATGTCAGGATTTATAAATAAATCAAAATAATCATATAGATTAAAATCATTATAAAATAGTCAAGCTTTATAAATACTTGGCAATAACACATATATTTGTAACTACATAAATATTGATACTATTATAACATTTGATCAACTTAATATCACTATACTAGACAAACATAAGCCTAGTAAATAATAATTTATAATAATTAATTAATTTAATATAAACATTATTGACGTGTAATAATTAAGCATAAAAATATACTACCTAATTAAATACAATAAGAGTGTAATGAGAATTTATAAAATGTTTTTAGAGTGTATTATTATTATAAATAGAATACATTTGTATAATGTAAACAATAAGGATTTTGATATTTAGATTCAGATGGGTATATGTCGTAAAGGCAAATAGTATTGTTATCTAAACCAACAATAGTTTTATTTGTTACCCATGCAAGTTTAGAGCATATTTTGACAAATATTACTCTCGGCCGCCATTACGCCAAAGTCATGTTGTATGATTGAAATACTTTTTTTTTAATATCTGTCATTAAATTATCCTAGTTTTTAACGTGAGAACTATTTTTCTTCTAACGAAAAGCAAAAAGGAAATAAATTTATCATTTTGGAAGTTGAACACCCTCGATATGAGTACTTACATAAGTATTTTATGTAGAAAAAAAATAGCTTTAATTGTGATTAAAAACTAGATCATTAAGTAAAAAAAAATTGGCTCCGAGCCTGCTAACAGAAAATAACATGCTCGTTAGGCTGCGAGTGTTAACATTATTAAAAGAAAATGGAAATGAAATGTTTAACAACCTTATTTTATGTTTTGTTCATCGTTATATATGATTCTCGTGATGTGATATCTGCGATCCTACGGACCTTTGTTACTTTTATTATCTCCGCTGAAACTTTTTTCAAATCCCTACGTAAACAAAACCAAACTACGAAACAAAGAAGGACAATGTCCAAATCTTCTTGAAATAATGTTGTCATTGTTAAAGTTTGTAAACGATACAATAATACTGGTGCATTAATTATAATCAAGCTTTTTGTTATTAAAGTTAATAAGCAATGGTTTTAAAAAAATACCAATACATTGTTTATTCTGAAAACCAATAAATAAATGACAATAATGTATATTTATAATAATAAAGTTTTCCGCTTCAATGAATTATAGGTAATACCAGTTTTGGTTGTAACAAATTTAAATAGAAATTGAATGATAAAAATTTATTATAAGAGCAATCAAGGCATTCAAATTCGCTTTTATACTTATAATACAAGCAAAATGGTTTTAAACGAAAAAGGTAATAAAATTGTAATGACTACCGGAGCATATGTGCTTAAATAGAATAGGTTTAACGGCCGTTGAATCTAAAAATACAGTTAAGTCGCGCATCTACGAATGCACCATATGTTTCTAGTACAAGTAAAATCACATTCTACGCAAAGGCAGATAAAACTTACTTTGTATTTGAGGCTCTCTGACGCTAAATTTCCCAGCGACGTCGAATGGTCCCAAATTGTTGAGGTGTTGAATTTTTGCAAATCCGTTTCAGACGAAGTGTCCGGAAAACTTTTACCGGTAAAATGACTCCTGTAAGCTGTAAAAATCATCGTTAATTAAAAGCATTTTACCATAAAAAAACAGTCCAGTATTTTATAAAATGTGTATTTATCTACATAAAAAATTAAGATTAATCGATATAAATATATAACTAAGAAATCATAATTATTTTCACTACAGATAAAATTACCTTAAAGTATAATTTATAATGACTAAAATTCTAATTAAAAAAAAATAATAATAGAATTGTTTAATTAAAAAGTATAATACGAATTTAAAAATATAGATACATGCAATTTTTTTATAGCACTTACTTAATTAAAAATTTTACAATTAAAATGTTATGATAAATTGGACTCAAAAATGTGGTATTTAGCAACCCGCCTATTTTATGTCACATTTATATTATTACTATGTAACTTGTTTTCTGTTAAACTTATTATTTTATTTGATATCAAACAAGACACATGAATATATTGTTTTATCTGGTAACTACCGTTGGGTGTTAAATAATAATAATAGATGTTTTATGAGATAATTATGCATTACTAGTATCTAGTTACAATTTTATTAAAATTAAAATTTCATAAAAAAAAACCTATGTAATAAACAATTTTTTTTTTTAATGATTATCAGTTGAGAATATAAATAATAAATGTACATAATCAAAGTTAAAATAAAATAATTTTAAAATTTTAGGTTTACAATACATTTTGCTGGTAATGAGATTCAATAGTAAGATAAATTAATTCTATTTTATCTTAAAATGACTCATAACAAATTGGCAAAACAAGTTACACAACTGTCAGATGATTTAAACACCTTTTACTTCTTTTAAAAAAAAAAAGTACTATTATTCGGAAAATTCAAGAAGTTATAAATAATTTTAAAAAAAGTTTCATGCGGAACATTATGTAATATTAAAACTTTAGAGTACGTTTGCCAAAATTCAAAAAAGGAACATAGACCTTCTAACCTAAGATACTGAAATCGCAATAATTAGAGGTCCCATTATGTTTAGTAATTTTATTAACATTTATTTTAAAAATACTACATTGTCTTTTGTGTGATTATTTGTTACTAGACAGTAGCTAATTACTCATGGTGCATTAAAGTGCTTTAAGAAATAATTTAGCATAGTAGAAAAAAAAATTGAATATTAAAAATTTTCTTAAAAATGTCAATCTTTAGTTCAATTTTTTTACTAATATGTTATATATAAAACAACATTTTGAAAATATAATTATTTTAAATTTATTGTTGTATAAATTCACAAAATAAACATTAATTCAAAAAAGCCTATATATTTATAGTCTCAGTAATGGTTCTTAATTCTATACAATATTTATATAGAATAATTTAAAAAAAAAACAATAATACAAGGGCTTTTAGATTTCTATTAACCAACATTAATTTGAATTATTAATAACAATTATTTTGTTAATGCCACAAGGTAGTTTTTAAATCTATACATAACATTTTTTTCTCAAATATTACCATTTGAACAATAATTATTCTAATATTTTTATTTTCAACACAACTTTGTAATAAATATGAAATACTGTCTACCTCTCATTCTATTCTTTATTAAAAAATATCTAAAAATCATTAAATCAAATGTACTTTAAATATGATTAATAATAATGAATTTTTAGTAAATATTGATTTTTAAGATAAAATTAAATATTTTGTAAAAAAGCGCTAGTTAGTAAAGTTTTTTTAATCCTGTAAATGTTTCATCACAAGCATTGATGCAATGTCTCATAGCATTAAAATATAGTGACTACTGTAGTTTATTTTCTACTTTTATAAAGTAGAGAATACATATGAAGTGATTCTGAAGTACTAAAAAGCAACATTTGAATAAAGTTTGTGTAAAGTGTTTCATTTAAACTATTAACAACTTGGTTAGGATTTAAAAATTTATCAGTAATAAGTATATAATTATAATATATTATATTATATTTTCTTTATTTTTGTAAAAAAGTCCATGCTAATTGTGCAAATTTTATATTATTTTTTGTACATTATTTTAAGATAAAATTGCTCTGTCGCTAATACCTTCATTTATATTTTCGATAGTATGTGGCCGTTTTGGTCTTTGAAATTGATCCTTTTCAATGTACGATGACACTATAGCAGCAAATCATGCGAAGAATAAAAACAAAACAAAATAGACACGGGAAAGAAAAACATTTCAAATCAAAAATCAATGCACCCGTCCAAAAAATACTGCGTATAAAATACCATGTACTTACAAATAGAATCTGTGTGAGAACGAACGGGAGGGTCTCCGAAAGAAGGATGTCGTTCTGGTATTTTTTTCTGTATTTTTGGCGATGATGATACTTCAGAAGTCCTGTGCGGATGACAAATCTAAAAAAAAAAACATCGTTTATAAAAACTTGTAAATAACTATTATGGTTTTATAAGCCGAGACTGAAAACTTTGAAACTGATTAAAACCAATACTTTCCGGCTTTTATAACCGAAATCAACAGCAATAACAATACAGTTATTATTAGCCTACTATTTTTAAATTTATTTTAATATGGTATAATAATTCAACTTTTGAGAAATGTATAGTTTTAAAATATATATTAAATATTTATTTGGAAATAAATATATTTGGAGTATAAACTATAATAATAACTAAGAAAATATTGAATTTTCATTAATCTTCAAATATAGTTTCATTTTAATAATTCCTCTTGGAAAACCATCTAATTTGTTTATGATTTGGTGAATAACTTTTTTTATGGGATGCCAAAACTTTTCGAATGTAAACATAGCTTATGTCAACATTTTTATAAAAATGAGTTATATTTAAATGTAAATATTTTATAATGAAAAATGAAAATACATACTTGTAATCAGACGCACCAATAAAAACATGCGTAAGGACTTAAAAAAAAACTAAGGGCCAGTCAAAATGAACGGATTGAATAAGGCGGCCTATTCAGCTTAGTTGGAAACGAGTCATGCCTCGGTGCGTAGATACCGAGATTTGATTCCATTGCGTTGAACTATGTAGTTTTTCCCGTCCTTTCTAACACAGACATACTTTTCAGAAAAGACTAAAAGATAATCAGAGTAATGATAAACTCTAGAATGTTTTTAAAATAATAATTGAATTTTTTTTTATTACGTCCCTGGAATTTCTATAGGCAGGTTTGTTAAAAATTTCAGCCTTTAAATCATAAAACACCTACGTCAACTAACATTTTTCTCAAAAGCACTCGCAAATGAACGGTAAAAATTTTCTGACCAACTAGTAATTTTTCAAAGTTGTGTGACCATGATCTTTCGTTAAAAAAAGTCGAAATTCGAAGAATGCTAAATAATTTTTACTAAAAAGTGTTATTTTCCTAGTTTTATTATATAATGAGATAGTGTCGATAAAAGAACGTGAAAAGAAAATATCCAATAACATGAGTATTGTTGTTCTATAAACTATATTATTTGACACTTAATGGCTACATCTTGGCATTACTTCTGCTGGCTGTGGTTATATTTTTCTCGAAGTAAAAAATGTCTCCCTAGACCAAAGAGATTATGAGTTTTATCTGATACTGTTTTTTGTGTACTCTTCTTTTTCGAATGATCAAAAAAATAAAATCTAAATCATCTATAAAAGGGCTTATACAGTGAATTCGTTTAGAAGACGATTTACAGCTTTTTAGAAGGATTTACTCAATACCTTTTTCCGCTCAACACACACAGTCCTCCAATCTTACCGAGGATAATACTTTACGACTTAGCGATCGAATGAATAATAAAAAAACGATATTTAATGATTTTTTGAATACTAAACATATAAATAAATAAAACTCATCGGACGACAAAACAAATTATTTACTAAGATTTTTTAAGTTTTAATCGATCACATAGTTTCAAAATTTAAATTCCATATTTTCGAATTTCAAATACTAATGTTATTCTTGAGAAAATCGATCGATATATTAGAAGTTCTTAAATTAATCTCTTTTCATAGCGACAAAAATAAATAATTATAAATCAATAAACGGTTTAAATTTGAATAGTTAAATACAAGTTTCCAAACTATAATATGTATAAATCTTATTTGAGAATTTTGAGCTATTTTTGTAGTTTTAAAATATATGTACTAAAATTTCTCTAGAACAAAGTATAACTACTTCTATACGCTTATATATTGGATTAAAACTTATTAAAACACTAGGTATTAACCATATTAAATTAAGTTGTTCAATCAATAAAATATATTGTTATATAGTTAATATTACTTATATTTAAATTTAACTTTCAATCTCATTACAACATAATAACGAAAATCTTTTTATTATAATCAATTGAACAAATTATATCTGTTTTTTAACAAATAAGTAATTGAAATTATTATAGTAAAATTTAAATTGCTTATTTGTTAGTTGTTTAAAAGTTTTCATTCTCGCAGGTTAAAATTATGCCTAAATATTATTATACTTCAGACGAGCACACCAATAGTGAAAGTTGATTGATGTATCAATCAAGTACACATTTACAAGTAAATTGCTATTAAGAATAGGATCATGTAGATGGTCTTTATCAGAAAGGGTTCACAAACATTATAAATCTTTATGCTATTCATGAAAATTGACAGTTATTTTACGTCCAATCTACTGTTATGACCGTTATTGGTGTGTATAGTTTTGCTATCAACAAATTGTTATTTAAATAAGGTTAGCTACTTATACTAATTATTAAAATGTTTTGTTTTTTGTGTCTCCTGAAAACTACTTAGCAAAAAAATCACTTTTTTTTTAAAATAAAAAACTCCATATTAAATTATTATATGATGCTTTTTTATTGCTTTAATTAAAAATATATTAACTAACATTACCCCATTGGGCACTTAAAATATTCTATAGATCCCTGAAAAATTAATTAAATTAATAAATATATTGTTGGTTCAAAGGAACGTATCACAAGACAAGCAATTGTCTGATGATATTGTCAAAATGTTATGTAGTAAACATTCATAAATTTTAATTTAAAAGAATTATTTTATACACAAAATAGTTCTTTAAATGTAAGTATTAAGATATCATTTTCAAAAATATTTGTCGAGTTTCTCTCAATCACTTTTTATTATTGAATTTATATTTTATTAAAATAATATGTAAAATAAATTAAACATATGAAAAATATAACAAATTATATTATGTTTATTTATTAACAAAAAATCATAGAAAATTAAGAATTTAGAACAAAAAAAATGTTATTTAAGTAAAAACAATATTCAAATACGAATAAAAATGTTTCACAGTAACAAAAAGAAAATATTACAACTCTATTAAATTAAATAATAATAAAATTACATATAAAATATAAAAAATTGCAATAAAGGTTATAATCTATTCTATTTTTATTAATGTGGGGACAGTATCATTGGGAACTAAAAATCAAGACGATCAATTATTATTTTTAAATGAATAAATTGTTTTTCTAAATAAATTATCGATATTAAAGGACAGTTTATACAGATAGTACCAAAAAGTATATTACAAAGGAAAAATTTAAATAATTAATGTATGGTTTATGTTAAAAATAACGTCCCAGATGGTAGTTTTATTGAAGAAAAAATTAGATGCTTACTAGGCCAATGTAATTATTGCATTGATTTAAGAGCTTTTTTTTTATTACAAGATAGTATAAGGAATATTTTTTTAGGTATTGAGAACTATTAAAATATAAGTTTTTAGTAACGTTAAATCGAACAAAAGAAATTTTCATTTATAATGTATCCGTGATATTAAGAATTATATAAATCTTCAATACTTTTAGTCCATTTAAAATGAACTTGAGGTAATATTAATCTAGCAGGCTGTATAATTGGTTTCTTTGGACTTTCTACGATATTAGTTGACATTACATAGTTTTTCTCTGAAAAAGTCAGATTATAGTGATCTAACATCATGTCAATGTCCATCTCTATTTCTTCTGTGACCACTTCCATTGGTATAACTTTATCAGTTTCTACCAATTTCGAAGGATCACAATCCATTTTTTCATTTAAAGCACAACGTTGCCGACGAATATAATCACCGTAGACCCCTTTCGAAATACATTTCAAATTTTCAATGGGAGACATCTTTTTCTGTTGCGTCGACTCCAAATATTTTTTGTGACTAACGCGGGGCAATTTCGGTATAAATTCCATTTGATAAGAAACATCAGGTAAGTTAGAAAAGCCAGTATTACTGTGTCTTAATCCTAAATACATTTAATTAATTTAAGTTATCAAGTGTTAAACATTTTTTTACTTTTAATATGCTCAAAAATAAATTACACGTTTAAAAAATAGTGTTTTAGCTTAATTAAGATTGGTTTCATAGATTAAAAATTATTGGGTATAGTCAGTCAGTTAAATTCTGTTGTTGTTAGATGTTTTATTCTACATCTATAAATTTAACAAAAAAAAAACTCGCTGGACCACAAAAGACTAATAAGTTTGAAATATTAAGAGGTAATACCGGTACAAAATTACTTCATTTTAATCAAACTGTTTAAATATAATTTTAATCTACTAACCTTTTTGTTTTCTAGACATGGCATATGGATGATGAATGATTTTATTCATCTTGAAATATACCAAAACTCTTTTAATAAACTGTATATTTTTATAAGATCACTTAATTATAAAAGGTTTTTAAATGATTCGAAATATTTGTCTTAAATTTATCTACAGAGCGTAAATTAATGAAACTAACGAAGTCAGAGAACTAACTGGAATTATTTAGTTTACAAATGTTTATTTGCAAAATTTTATATAACATATTACTAGGTAACAAAATTAACTTGATCATTTATTTTTAAAAATAGTTTTAACTTAAAAAAATAAATATTATTTTACATAACTTATTAAATACTGTATAATTTTTATTATAAATACATTAGGTATTTATCTATCATTTGGTATATTTTTTTTTAATATGAGACTCTTTACCTGCTTACAGAAGAGGATTCAAAATAATAACTTTTTCACAAAAAATTAACTTTTGAACATTTTCCAGAAATACTGACACTTTTATATATATCTTAAATTAAAGCGTATATAATATACAATAGTAAAAAAAAAATACATTTATTAATTAAAAAACATTTTATTTTAATTAAGTTTATACAAATACATTTATATTGTGTTGTATTTGTTTAGCATATTTTAAACATATTATATAAGGTTCTTATTCATCATTACTTATAAAACAATTATAAAAACATGTTGCTTAAGTTATCTATTATAGAAATGTAAAGACCATATCACCAAATAGCATATAAAGTTAAACTTATTAAAAATTATTTGCTTTTTTTAAGAGAAAAATAACTTTGAAATTGGAACTAGCTTATATTACCAAAAATTGTGACGTACGGTAGCCGCGATTCGGTGACACTTAAATATTTCACTCTTAGGGTAAGAGGTTCAAATGTACTTGTAGTAATGAATTTTTTTTTTTGTATTTATTTATTAAAATTAGAATGAAAAAGATGACAAAAATAATTTATAAATTTCTTCTCGGAAAGATCGATTTTCAACGTGAACGATTTATGATTAAATCGTGTGCATTATAATATAACTAAACAGTTTTTTATTTAAATTTTTTGTTTGAAAAGAATTATGTTCTTTTAAGAATATAAATATAATGCATAAATCGAAATGTTAATTTTAAGCGAAATAGGTTAATTAAGAGACCATTATTGTGATCAGGAATAGGAAAGCTTATTATTATCCCTCATGTTATGGCAGTAAATATATTACGACAATATACTTGTCGTATTATTTTTTAATTTTTAATTAAAACTTATTAAAATTATAACTTAATTTTTAAGTGTAATATCTTTAACTAGATAATAGTTATCCCAACCGATCATTTGATGTATTATTAAAAAGTTGGTCTAGTGAGAGATGATGAAAATGAATGACAGACACAAAAAACATATATTTTTGTAAAGTTAGTACATTTTCAGCTTCGTAGCAATTTTTTTAACAACTTATCCAATTGTTTTTTAGGAATATTGTTTTAAATCATGTAATTTAAAAGATATTTTAACTAAAGTTATAAATTTTAGCTTTAAGAGTTCTACCGTTGTAACAATTAATTCTACAGAAAAATCAAAATAAATCAGTTAAAAGATAATTTAAAAATTATTGGCTGATACGTTTTTCTGATCCTACACCGTCAATATCTGTGTTCTTTTAACCATGGACGAATAAACAAAAGAAAAGAAACATTCATTTAAATTATTTTAATGATTTAATATCTGATTTGTTTGTTCTAAAATGATGAAGAGCGTTTTAAGTAATAGCTAATAATTATCTTAGAAATATCCATAATACAGTGTTTATTACTCTATTCAATGGTTATAAACAGCATTAAAGATAAAAAAAATGAAATTTTCGTTATTACTATGTACGCTTACTAAAAGTACAGTGTTAAATGAAGAAGAAAATAGAATCTGTATGAATAAAATTAATAAACAAAAAACTTACTTGATTTTCAGATCTACTATAGGGTATCTGAGAGCTAATAGCTGCAGTCGCCGTTTCGTCTTCAATACGGGCAGAGGTTGTTGACATAATTATACTTTCAGCGGCAGCCGTTTTTAAACTATATAAAGAAATAAAATTAGAAAGACATCAATAATAAATTGTGAATTAAACTGATTAACTTATTTTTATTAAAAACGAAACACCTCACCTCAATGAATCTGAAGCTTTGGGCGTAGGAGGTGTTTTCAATTCGGCGGCTGTTGCACTGCTTTCTTCGTCATACTCGTCATCGTGTGGCAGTGGGGTGAGTCGACCAGCTTGCCTTGCACTCCGTCCACGGAAAGAGCCCATTCGTAGAGATTGCCTGAACGATTGTCTGGCCCTATCGACTATTGGACGCATCAATGGACAATGACAACCAAAAACACAGAAAAAATTTCGATGTTAAAAAAGCTCAGAACACTTTATAGTAAACGCTATTTTTATAAATAATGATACCACACCAAAAACGGATATAAAATATCTTTCTAAAACATAAAAATTATTTTACTCTACAAGCCATTTAGATTTGAATGGGGTTGAATACAGTTCAATTTATTGGTACTCGTGAAAAAGGTTTACAATTCCATAGGTATTGCGCTACAAACACACACGACAAAGCCATATTTGAACAGGATGCAGGGTTGACTAAACAACGAATAGTTGAATATTATAGTTATATTACATTTACTCAGTCTAGAAGCTGGATCGGGTTGGTCTACCGGTGAAGAGGGTGCTGTAAGGTCTTCAAAATTGATGATGTAGAGACATATATCGTCCACTTCACTCTTAACCGGGGCAATGACCTCGCTGCACAGGAACTTGGAACCTTAAAAAGATAAATAACCAAACGTTAATTATAGTCATTTTTATAGCAAAACTCACAAATAGTTAACAATAATGATAAAACGTATAATTGTGTCGAAAACAATCAGTCTTTCCACAGTAACAACGTTTAACTCTTTTGGCACAGCTCGTAAAGGTCACTAACATAAATCTCAAACGTGCGACCTTTCAGCGACTATAGTAGAACATTAGAGTAAAGATATATATCGATGGATTCCAAGCTAATAACTGAAAAAAGATTCTGTACTTGGCCAAATTATTGCATTGTGGTTACAATTACTAGGATTATTTAATTTCATTCAAAACTCAATCTGTTGCAAAGAATTTAATCTATTAACAAACGTGACAGTTCTATTCGTTATAAATCCAAACGTCATCTAGACTCATTTATTTATACCTCGTATTGTACTTGTATGTATATTTTAACTATAAATAAAAAAAAAATTTTTTAATGCAAACATTCGAAAAGCATTTCTCGTTTATTAAAATAGTGCTATTTTATTATGTTACAAAAATATTACTTGTATCAAATTGAAATGCAATTCTTCAAACAAAAATACACTTCAAAGCCTACAATTTTATTAAATTATTAAAGTTTATTTGAATTCATAATTTATATGTACTTCATTATATTATAAGGTTTAAAAATGAATGTATAATATCGATAATCCAAAAATTTAAATAAACTCACAATCAAATAAATAAATTTGATTAAATTCATAAAATAAATTTAAACGTAAAATATAATAATAAATTTAATATTAATCAATAAACATTTAAATGTAATGAAAAATTTTAATAAATAAATTCTATAAAGTATTATAGTAATTATAGTAATATTCTTATAGTAACCTTAAAATCAAAAAGCAATCATGCATTAAATAGCATAATCGATGAATCAAATTAAGCCTTTTGCATTTTAAAGAACATTTTTATTATCTATTTCGAATTGCACGATTGTAATTTTACTTAGATTTAACCATTTACGATCATAATTATGAAGTAATAGTACAATTCCAATAAAGTAAGTAGATCTAAAAATATTCTTTTACGACAAATAATTTATGGTCTATTGTATATTAAAGCGCTTTATGAATGAGTTGCAAATGAAAAAGCTTAAGATGTAACGAACTGTTTTATATTCAACGGATTGAGTAATGTATTTTATGTTATCATAAATTTAGAAAACGATTCGTATGTTTTATTTGAAAAAAATGAAAACAGTGGGAAATTTACACATTAAATTTAGCTAATTTTATACTTGTCAACATTTAGTTAATGAAAATAACTGCAACGTTATAATTTTAGCTCCAGGAAGTAAAAATAGAAGAAAAATCTACAAAAACTATTAAAATGTATTTATGGCTAATAAAGTATTCTTTATAATAATGTTAAATAAAATTTTGAGTGATATACAAGGAAAAAAAATCATATGATATATTGTTGTTCTACTGTCAATTAAATACAACTTAATGGTTATACAATAATAATAATTACAAACAATTTTTTTTTTAAATTTTAAAGTAAATGTAGTTTTGGTGAAACTTTTATTTTATGTTTATTTATTCATTAAATAATAATGTTTAATTTTCTTCCTAAAATGAATGTCAATTAGTTTTTTTAAATATTTTATTTTAATAGTAAATCCAACCCAACTTCAAATATTTGTTTAATGGTAAAAAAATGTTACGAAGTTTTCTTACTGAACTAGTCTCAGATCTTAATGTCTTTGTTTTAAAAAAATAGTACCGGTGGATAAAGCTTAAAGTCACAATTTTTTCAGTTTAAAGTCTAAATTAAATTAATAGTTTTATTGAACTAAGTGTGTTGCAATCTTACACTTATTGGATAGCTATTTTCTGAACTTAATGTCTTTGCTCTAACGAAAATGGTGCTCGCGGACAGCACATAGAAACTTACGAACATATTATTAGTGTTTAATTATTGTCTTAGTGATTATTGTATCGTATCCTTTCAATGCGTTAGCGCCGGGACATATTAGGCCACAACAAAACCGCATTGATAAATTGTCTACAATGATATAAATATTTAAGTTTTGCAAAGACAGAGAAAGCTTTAAAAAATATAGGTGTCGTTCTCTCAATAAAATATATTGTCTCAAAAAAATAAAGATAAATTAAAACAATAATATTTCTAATAACAACATATAGTGTTTAGAATATTTTAAGCATAGAAGTCAGTCATAGATTTTGTGTAACGAAATCGTATTATTTAAAATTAAATCGTTAAAAAAATTATATTGATTATACAACGCGTAGTGTGCAACGTATACTCAGTGCATTTATTACACAGACTCAACGTTGGAATACTTAAATTATTATTGCCTGGTACAGAATATAAGGTAAGTATTTAATTTACCAGTTTTAATTCATGCCTTCAAACCATAAACAATCTATTGCAAAATAAACCATTGATATAAATTACAAAGTTTTAAGGGATATTTAATATTATTTTCTCAATATTGTTCAACCCCCAAAATCACCATATATTCTTATCCTTTTTATCTATTTATCTACTTAAAACTTTTAATTTTATTAATTTCTACTATCAATTTAAATTATCCATTTTCCACAATTCACTATTTTTTTTATTTTACTTTTACTTCTTGGTTTATAACATATAAAAATAAATCCAATTTTTACCATTTGAATATCGCAACAAGTGTCAATAGTTCTTTAAAAACTTAATAGATACGATAAAATAATATATTACAATCGTAACTGTTATATCTATAATATGTTACTTGATTTGTCTGAAAACTAAATCTTTCTTTATTTTTCCATCGGATCACTGTAGTAATATTTGCGCAATAATTATAATTTTTTTATGATGAATAATAAATACAAATCTGTACCTGTCTGCGGCAATAACTCATTTTACATAGTATTATTATGTCATAAAAATACATTAAGTACAATAATTGTTTTGTAAATATTGTCTAATCAACTTTAGTAAAACAATTAAACTTTTTTCCTTCATTTTGCTCAATTTTAATAATCAAATGTTCACAGAAACGCTTGTATAAAACCATTTTATTAATATCATGAAAGTTTTAGCCATTTTCAAGATTACCTGTAGCATACTATTGTTCGAAGTGACTAACCTCTTTTAAATCTTGGCAATTTCTTCTATGTAATACGATTTTTCGCCCAGTGTACAACGATAATAATGTTTCGATATTGGAACACCCGTGGCGGGGTGGTTTTGGCCTGATGTTATTGCTACCGGCATAACCTTCTTATATTTACTTTAAACATTTAATGTTTCACACCAATTCATTTAAAAGTTTCATCGAGTAGATATATCTTTATAATAATAAAAGGCAAATAGCTTAAAAAAAACTAAAGTTATAATTTAATAACTGTTATTATATTCAGTAGCTCTTTATTTATTTTATATGACTCATCAGTTATTTGAAGAATTTTACTTACTTTTTAGATAAATTGTTTTCCAAAAATAAATATTCAATATAAAAAGAATAGCTGAAATGGAATATAATAACATTTTTTATTTACTTTTGAATAAAATGTTACTATTGAAATAGTCTCAAATTTATTTATTTTTATTACATAATAATAAAAACGTTTAAACATCATTTATTGTAATAAAAGTGATGGTAAATAATATTTTATGAGTTCATTAAAAATCAGCTCTTATACCATCTATGTTTATTTAGTTATAGTAAATCATTAAAATTAATTCAGTTCATATTTCAATTTTATAATCTCTTTAAACACCAAAAGTTACTAGGAAATGATTACTATTATTTCTATTTAAGTTATCTATTACGATAAAAATGCAAAAAAATATTATAAAATTACTATAAATAGTAATTATAAAATTCCTGACTGCATATTAATCTTAACGATACAATTTCTTTAACTCTCATAAAATTTTCTATTTAATGATGTCAATTTCAAAATTGCAAATTGAATTAAAAGTTATGGTAATAAATTGATTTTTTTTATCATAAACTTTCACTAAAAACAACTTTAAAGGATTAAAAAAATAGGTAAATATGTTATTTTCTTTATTTTTAACATATTAATAATCAAGATCAGTATTAATTTAAAACAGTTTTTGTTCTTAATTTTTTTTTTTTATATATATATAAATACTTATTTTTTAATAATAAGCTACAATATTAAAACTTAGAAAAGATAGAAAAAGTCTAATTGCACATTTGTAAATATTTCTTTCAAAAGTTTCTTGTAATCCAGAGTATAAAACTTATAACTTTATTATAAATAACAAAAATTTTTATATGCGTTAAAAGTAAAGAAATATACAACTACTTTATTATTTTTATAATATATTCTTAAAGATTACAGTGTTAAATTATTGATTATCAATATCATACTAAATTTAATTACTATAATTATTATATATTCATGTATTATAATTATAAATCAAATAACTAATCGGGATGAAATTAAGGGGATAGGAGTTATTGTTGCTTTTGAAATAATCTACCAATTTCTTAAAATTAAACACTATCTACATATTTACATCGAAGCGTTTCTTATGATAGTGATTTTAATCACTGTCAGATATCTTTATACTTGTCCCAACTATGCCACGTCCATACTGTGCCGCGACCCCACTGTGCTACCGTTTTTTTTTTTTTTTAATAAATCTGTAGGTATCACCTATAGTAAATTCAAGCACGAAACTAACGTATGAAAAAACTAAACTCTCTATGCACTTGTTTCTATAGAATACCGAGATATCGATTTACTACTAGTTTGGCGCCATCGTCTGACATTTTATGAATATTTTTTCTTTTTATTACATACCCACATAAACTCGTTGTCCACAGTTAACTCAAAATAAAGCGCAGTCTCGTAGGAACTTAACACTTTGTGTACAGAAAAAAAAAACTAATTGAATACGTCTAGGTTTACCGAAAACGACTATAACGACGACCGGATGAAATGAAAACGTCTCTTCTCTAATTTGAAA